TAGCTGGTGGCAGTGGGCATTCTTCTAATCAGCTGGGCAGGATTTGAATCTCTCCTGGGGGGCTGCCGAAGTGTTCAACTTACAGGGAACAGTGCAAGTCGTGACCCCCTGACTCAGTGAAAGCAGAACAAGTATCTTGCAATTAAGCCTGTATAACTACAGGATAGTGATGGCAGCTGGTAAATGAGAGCATGGTAATAGGTAGTTTAGGAGGTGCAGGTGAAGAATAGTCCTCCTCGTGCAATACCAGGCCTGTCTGATATAAATATTGCATGGCTCCCTTGGCCATAGTGTGTTTCAGAATCTGTATTGTATTTATCTTCACAACATCCCAGTGAGGTGAGAAACTGCCATGGTTCCCATTGCAAAGACAGGAAATTGAGGCAGCAAGGGACTCTGACTTACCCACAGTCACAAGGGAATTCTGTGGCAGAGCAGAGACTCTAGCTGGGATGTTTCAGGTCCAAAGCTAATGCTCTAAGTCAGTGGACTCCAAAGTTTTTAAGCATGAGATGACTTTTTGAGTTTAAGTGCAATCCAAGATCTGCTTCAAAGATAAATACAGGCAGTCCCCGGGTTACCTACAAGATAGGGACTGTAGGTTTGTTCTTAAGTTGAATTTGTATGTAAGTCGGAACTGGTACATATTGTAGGGGAAACTCTAGCCAAACATTTCTCCAGAGCTCAGTTTTATTCTCCCACACCTCACTTCCCTCAGTCCTTTATTCTCAAGCTGAGGTGTCTGCTGAGAGAAGCCGCTCCGTGTCTCCCTGGTCTGCTGGGGGGGAAGCAGCTAGTGAGGGGTTGCCTCACCCCGTTTGTAAGTAGGGATCCGATGTAAGTCGGATCCATGGAACCCGGGGACTGCCTGTCCCCTTGCCCCGCCTCCTTCCCTCCCCTTCTCCAAGGCTCTGCCCCTGCTCACTCCACCCCTCCTCTTACCCATCCTCACTCACTTTCATCAGGCTGGAGCAGAGGGTTGGGGTGCAGTCTCTGGTCTTGGATTAAGAGATCTGGAGTGTGAGAGGGGGTTGGAGTTGGGGGAGGCAGTTGGGGGGCAGGGGGGGGGGGGGGTTCCTGACTGGAGCAGGGTTTCAGGATGTGGGCTCTGTCTGGGCACTGCTTACCTCAGGTGGCTCCTGAGTGGTGGTACAGTGAGGCTAAGGCAGGTTCACCCCTGCCCTGGGCCCTGTACCACTCTCAAAAGCAGCCAGAAAACTCCCTCCATCCCAAGCCCTGTTGTGCCCCCCTTTCTGCTCTGTGGAGAGAGGATGCAGAGTAGGAGGGGGCACCTTGACATCCGCATCCCTCCTGTCCCTCCCCTGCCCTGCACAAATGGCAGGAGGCTCCCCCAGCAGGAGGGGCAGCTCCAGGGTACAAAAGGCAGGAGATGAGCAGCAGTGGGGGCGGGGGGAGGGCAGCTGAAATGCCAGCATTTGATAGCCTCTTGGCCGAACCAGGAACACCTGCCAGAGGCTCCAAGATCTACCAGTAGATCCTGATCTACTGGTTGGTGACCACTGCTCTCAGTGCTTAGGCCCATCCCTCCTTTGGAGCGGGTGTGTGTGCTTGGAATGCCCATCTGTTCACAGGAGAACTCCAGATGTTGAGCAAACATTCTCAGTGTGTTCAGGATTGCATCAGTATGTCAGCCTGCTCCAAGTTCAATTCAGTCGAAGATGGAAAGGCTGATGTTCAGTTGGTCCATCAGCACACTTGGACAGTACTCCTGGATGCCTTTCACTGTGAGTTCTGACCGAAGATGATCGTTTCTGTTGTATGCCCTGGCTTTGGGGAACTGTGCCTGGAACTTGTACGTGTGCATGGGGGCACCTGCCGTAACAGCTGTTGAAGGGAGTGGAATCAGTTTAGATTAACTGGCAGGTTAGTGCATTTGCATTGAACTGCTAGAGTTGGTTAGCTGAGACATTTTACATAGAAGTGCGTCTAGTGTTGACAGAGCTAATGAAAAGTGAAAGTAGAATATGGGGATGAAAAGGAGGGGCGGTAACTTTTCTGGTGCCTTTGATGTTGTAAGCAGCACCATTGTGGTGTGATCTAACAGGACGTCTCCAGTTTGAGAGAATGATTAGAAATCTTTGCTAATGACCAAGGCGCACACAAGATGAGTGTGCTCTGATTATTTTGTCATTCAGAAGAAATTTGAACTTGCAGAATGAGGATATTCTGTTTCTGATAAAACAAACTTGAGGTCATATTCTCATTAAAATGGGCAGTGTGATAGACCACAGGATTTAAAAGCAAATTATTGCCCAACATAGACACCAACAGCTTTCTGTTATTGATCAGAATTTCATTTGTAATTCTCATTGTAGGTATCCTTTTAAAACAAGACCCCTTGGAACACTTGAGCATGTGTTTTAATTTACCCATTGACTTGAATGGGACGATTCAGAGGTAAAGCTAAGCATGTGCTTAGTGTTTGCAAGATATCTACCTAAGTTGCCAATTAGAGCGGCTCTTGTTACCACACACTAATTGAAGTGCTTCATTGGTTTTCTCCTGGCATGACCGTTCCATGCTGTATTTTATTCTGTATGGAGATAGTCATATTCTCTTCCCTGAGAGATGAAAGTACATATGATCAAACATAAATAAAACTGGGGAAGGTCCCAATGTGCAGATAAGTTGGTCACTATGAAAAGTTGCTGCTGACAAGTTCTCTTCCTTCCAAGAGTATTTTTATACACCTAAGAATGAGGCTGTTTGAATTGTAGGTGTTGGGGTTTCTTCACATGCATTAAAGACTCTCTCTTTTTGACACATGGATGCCCCCCCTCCTGATCCGAGAATCTGGGGGAAAGTGAAAATAAACACAACAATGTAACTTAGAAATGAGTTTTTAATTATTGTTCTTGCCCTGCTGGGAAACCTTCCTTCCCACCACCCCCACTAAATATGCTTCACTATTTAAAAGTAATTTTTGTGCAGTGGATTTATCATGTCTGCTAAAGCAATTTAATTTCATCTATTTGTGAAGCTCACATTTTTGACTAGTAAGCTGTATAAAATCCTTTAGTCTAATTAGAAATGCTGTAATTTGTTTAACTCTTCAGATTCTGAAGGTTGCTTATTTCATACATGTATTGTCTGGCCATTCTCTCATGATACAGTTTGATGCAAACACTTTTCTCCAGGAAAAGAGACTTAAGCTAGATGACATCTATAAAATGGAATGGAACCATTAAACGCTAAAGTAAAATATTTATATGGATAATGTGGCAACAGCCAATGTTAAAATGGATCAGAATACTTTTAAGATGCCAAAACTATTAACACGGGGACAAAAAAAATGCTATTGATCCTGTTAGGGTTTTAGGTAATACTGAAAACCCAACCATAATTGGGTGTACTAAAAATACATTTTAATAGCTTGTTTTGAATCTTTCCCTTCTGCTTCTATAAATGTCAAGTATTAAGTTGCAGTCTTTTTTTTTTTCTAATTATTAAATCTTGGCAATGAATAGATACGTTGCATTCTAGAAATTTCAAGAAAAAAAGAAAACAGGATCTGAATTAGATAGCTCCAAGACAGCTGCTCTCAGTTAATCAAAATGTCACTCCAGCAGTGTGCCTAAATCCTTTCTAATTAGAATTGCAAGGTTTATCATGAGCTCGCGTGGTCCTTGCTCTTGTTCCCCTTTAAATATAGATCCAGATTCCAATCTCAATTACATCAGTCTGTCTGGAATAACTCAGTTACGCTGCATGCTAAGACCTGAATCAGGTCCATTCTGTTTAAAGGAAAAAAACTGTGTGAAACAGGAGAGAGATTCTAATCTTCTCATCTAATTATAAAGAAGGATTAAATCAGTTGGGAATGACAGACGTAGTTCTGTCTTTCTTAAACATAATAAAGAACAACAGCCAAATTGGAAGCAGCTGTCTTAGTAACAGATGCAACCAGAACTGAAAAAGCTGGCTTTCATGGCAGAAAACTGTGAATTGAAAGCTCTACAGGGATGTTGCGTGGGATATGTGTTTTTAAATAGACTTTTTTGTATGAAAATTATTCTACAGGTTCTTCAGAGGTTTTTGTTGCTTTCTCCTGGAGCAGCAGGCAGGTCCTTTTTGAATCCCATTC